GCTCCGTCCAGGCGTGCGGGGCGAAGCGGTGGGGTGGGGCGGGGCCGCTGTCGCACACGGCACTGAGGACGAAGAGCCGAGGGAGGGACGTGAGGACAGCGCGGGGAGACGCCGGAGGAGGAAGCGGGCGGAAAGCGGAAGAGGGCGGAGGACGCGCGTGAGCTGTACCTAGTGTCACTTCCGAACGAAACGCTAAGGCGAGGCAGCCAGGACACACACGTACACACACAGAAGAGATGCACATGTCAGAACACGCACCGCCACCCGACGAGCTAACTGACACGGGCCGAGACGCCACGCCAAGCCCCCAGCCCGGCACCGCGGACGCCCCCGCCCCACCGTGTCTGCACCGGGGGCCTTGGGTCTGTCCCCGGCATGACCAACACCTGGAGGAACGCTGTCTATCCCGAGGCCCCCAGACGGCTGGGCTCTGTGGGGCCAGGCCCGGGGGCACAGCCAGAGGCCCAGTGCAGCTCAGCCTAGCACAAAGGCCAGCTCATAGCCGCGTGCCCTGGGGCCATCGCAGACATCTGTGTGCCCTGCTTCCTGGACAGACCCTCGCTGCCTCATCAAGGTGTCTTCAGGTTAAATGAGCTGAGTACATGGGGATGGGCATCACTGCCCTCACTACCAGCCCTCTGCCAGGGCCCTGAGCCCAGCCTGAGGGCCCCCGACCCTGGAGGCCAGGAGGAGTGGACTGTGCTGGAGCCCAGGCCTGGGCCGTGAGGAGAAGCCAGCTGCCTCCCCATGAGGCCCCGCGCAGAGGGCTGGGATGCAGTCTCGCCCTGATTGGACCTCCAGTGACCTAGAACCTGATTCTCATGGGCCTTACACGTGGGGTGGGGTGGAGGGAGGGGCCCTCCTGGGCCTTTTACTGCCCCATTCCCCCAGGGCCAAGATGACCAACCAGACCAGGGTCCAACCGGGCATAGCCATGATGGTGCCCACAGGCTGTCTCCAAAGCACTGGTCAGCCCGCTGCCCCATGCCACCTCCCGCAGACCAGCCCTTGGCCTACAGCCAGTGGTGGCTTCATGTGGCCATGGGTGCCAGACCCTGAAGCCTGGGCAGGGAGGGTCCTGGACAGCAGTCCTGAGCCCCACGCCCCTGAGGGCTGTGTGGGGTGGGGTGGGAGAGTGTCTCACCCAGATCTCAAGTAAGAGGCTGGACAGCGGTGGGTGTGCTCAAGGGGGGTGGGTGGCAGGTTCACAGGGAGGCACGGACGGTGCAGCCACAGGGGACATCCCAGGCCTGCAAGGAGCCTTGGGCGGTGCCC